AAGGTTTTGTGGCTGGGTTGCTGTCCAGGTTTCTCTTTTGGGGGCCTGCAGAGTAACTTCCCACAGGCCAATCGCACTAGGACATACACTTGAAGGTTCCACGCAGGCACCAGCTTGACCTCTCTCTATTAAATGAATTGTGTGGATGCTGTCCTTGGCAATGTGGTCCTATCGCTGTAAGCCTTGCCTGGCTACAAAAGATAGTCACCTCAGACTTCAGTATCCTTTATTACTAGGAATCCTCGTTAGTGTCACCCTAATAGATCCAGGAGGTTTTCACTGAACCAGATTCCTACCCATCTCCATCTGTCCCCATTCCATCTGTCCCTTCTCCCTCTGCCTCTACCCCATCCTGATCCATTCTGCTCCTGTCCACAGCTGTTCTCAGTTCAAGTCCACACAGAACGGCCCACTGAGCTCCCAACAATCAGTGGTTTTTCTAGTCAAGTCCCAAAGTCCTTCCACAATCCTCCCAAAACAACATGGTCAGGCCTGTCACAGAAATACCTCATGTTCCTTGTACCAACTTCTATCTTACTTAGGGTTACTATTTCTGTGATAAAACACCATGGGCAAAGCAACTTGGGGAGGAAAGGGTGTATTGGAGTTATGCTTTCACAGCAATGTTCATCACGAAATGAAGTCAGGATAGGAACTCAAACAGGGCAGGAATCTGGAGGCAGGAGCTAATGCATATACCATGGAGGGGTGTTGCTTACTGGCTTGCTCCTTGCTGCTCACTTACCCTGATTTCTTTCTTTTTTATTTTTCCTTCCTTTTTATTTATTTATTTTTTTACATTCCAATCCCAGTTCCCCCTCCTCCTCTTCTCCCACTTCCCCCACTTCCCCCTCCTCCCATCTGCTCCATGGAGAAGGTAAGACCTCCCCTAGGAAGTCTACTAAGTCTGTCTCATCATCTTGTTGAAGCAGGACCAAGGCGCCTCCCCACCCCCACACCCCTGTGTCTAGGCTAGGCATGGAATCTTTCCATATAGAACGGGCTCCACTAAGTCAGTGTGTGCATTAGTGTTAGATCTTAGATCCACTGCCAGTGGCCTCATATATTGTCCCAGTCACACCATTGTCACCTATATTAAGGGAGTCTAGTTCGGTCTTATACAGGTTCCCCAACTGTCAGACCTGAGTCAGTGATCACTCACTAGCTCCGGCCAGCTGATTCTGTGGGTTTTCCCATCATGATCTTGACTCTTTTGTTCATATCCTGGTTTCTTATAGACCTCAGGATCATCATTGCAGGGATGGCTCCGCCCACAATAGACTGGGCCCTACCACATCGATCACTAATTAAGAAAATTCCCTACAGCCCAGGCTTATGGAGGTGTTCTCGGTTGAGGCTCCCTCTTCTCCAGTGACTTCAGCTTGCGTGAAGTTGGCGTAAAACTATCCAGGATAGTGCATGTCTCAGATGCTAACCCTGTCACTAAATGGTGTGTCATTATATGCTGATCACATTGACATGCAAGTTATACTATGGCCACTCTGGCTAAAGCCACAAATACTGGCCACAAGTCGTTACTTCAGAGAGATAGGCAAAGAGTTAGCAGGGTAAAGGAAAGAGAAACCCCAACATGAGATGTGTTGCTCTTTTGTCCTCATTAAAAACCCATGTTTGATTGTGTTTCATTGTGGTGTATGCCCTCATTTGTTCTGTTGACCCTTCCCACTACGTTAGGCTTCAGAGTTAATTCTTACAAAATACATTAGTATTCTCTATGAAGCTTGTAGTAATCATTCCTCATTTGATGGCTGCATCAAGCACCAAATTGTCCTCATCTACCATATGTAGTAACTGTCAATTAAATGTAAACAACAGTAATAGATATTAATAGTACTTTTGAAAGTCTAAGTCCCAACAGCACGAATACAACTTTTTAAATGCTCTAAATAGCACAGAATGCCTCTGGGGAATTGTCATAGAAATGAAAGGAACTTTCAGTATGATGTTTCAAAGTAGTCCTTGGAGTCTTTTAGGCAGAGACAGGCCAGGCCAGCGTTTGCTGTTCCACTCAATTTGTATAAGGTAAAGTACGTTATGAGCTTTGTAATAAAGTTTTTATTGAAGAAAAAAGGCCACGTCTCAACACTTTTTATTTTCCAATGTTTGACCATTAATATTACGTGACACAATCCAGCTGAACGCATAGCTCGGGGATATAGACCTTCTGACAGTACAGCCCCCCTCCCCCCATGTAAACCAGCATCATGTTCATTACTCCACCAGCTCTCCCAACTCTGTAGCATCAAGTATTATCCCCACCTCTGCTGCAGTTACCACGAATTACATTACCTGAGCTATAAAAAATAAAAGATTCCCTTGTAGCAAATTCACAGGTTTCATTTCGGTCCAGCTATACAACTTGTCCATCTAAAACGGCAAATGTCTGCCCCACGAAACAGAATGAAAAAGAAAACCGCATTGAGCTTGGAATTCAGTGTATTTTAGAAGACAGAAGCGGCAAAATGCTATGCTAATTAGATGCTCAAAGTCAGGAAAAGAATCAGCCATGGTACTGTCAGCATCCAGGCATCTGAAACTGTGAAGAAATCTTTATCCAGACCAGTGACCGACACCATCCTCCTCTGGGCACATCCTATTCAACAGACACAGCCAGTGGTCGCTCAGGGCTCACAGGTCTTAGGCACTAGTTTAATCGACATGTTTTATGTACATACAAAGAAAGATAAAGTTCAAAAATTTCCCTAATTTGCAAATGAATACATTATAGTTGATTCACATTTTGTATTGAATTATTATAATATAAAATAGAGAAAAAACTGTTCTTAGTTGTGGAAGGACGTATTAAATACATTATTCCCTTAGAAAGTACAGGGGTGTCCTCAAGAGGGATTAATGCACAGCTGTAAAATCTAAGTTGTATTTCTTCACTTAACCTTGCACATATAGGACAGAGTCACACCACGTATTGTCATTATGTTGGGTAATATTTTTCCATATGAGTATGGCCAGTGTTTAAATATTTTCAAAACAATGTCTAGTGTAAAGCTGACAGTTAATAAGAGTAGATGGGTCTCTTCAACAGCGTAGCCACATGGGTAAGGAAAATCTCAAAGCAAGGAAAGGGCTAAGAGAGATAAAACACACTAATTAAAGAATAATGACAAATCATACTAAAAATGACCCTACTAAAAACTATTAGAAGAACTTGCATAATGTTCCTTTAAAAACTGTTAGGAAAAAACCTCCTGCTCTTAAAGTGTTTCTTTCAAATATAGGAGTCATATTATGACAGTCAACCTAAAGAAAACTCGTGGATACACATGATTGCATGCATTTTAGGAGGAAATGTTACCATTTGATTAAAATCCATTTTGTCCTTCCAAGAGTTCAGAAAATCAAACTGATTATATTGTCACATTCTAGAACAGGAAGTCCAAACAAAGGAAAAATACAACTGGAAAACAAGGTTGCTCGAACTCGGAACTCTGTCCAGGCATTCCTTAAAGGAGTCACAGATTCCACAACTTGCATGCTAGGAAGAGCATGTGGCTAATATTCTGTCGGACCCACAGGGATGAAGCAGGATATTAATACTCTATACAGGAGCTGGAAAGCAATTAAAGCTGAATTGAATTTTTTTTTTTTTTTTTTTTAATTACTGTAGTGGTGGTGAGTGGCTGAGACTCCCAGCGCTTGGGAGGTGGAGACAGGAAGATACAGGGTTCAAGGTCATCCACTACTTTGTAGTAACTTTTAATTTGATACATACGGGATTTTCCTTCAAAAAGGAAAAGGAATAGAAAACTATATGCCTGTTGTTCTATCAAGAAAATCTAATACTTTACAAAACTGGGAAGGAGTGATATGGAACCGGAGATGTGATGAGTAGAAATTTTGTATCCTGGTCTTATATTTTATCTTACTCAGTTCATCCAAAAATTTATGAGTCACCTATAGAATTATATGTTTTTGCTTTAAAGAAAAAGAGTGAAAATATGGATAAAGTCCACAAAACCACTCTGGGTGTAGCATTAATGTGTGGCGGTGTTCTTTTCTCTGATAATGGTTTCATCCAATTCTAGAGCTCAATAAATTCCCTTAAATACACCACATACAAGCCCTTGGATACTAGACATTAAGTCCCACTGGTTCTTTTTATGTATTTTTATTCTCGACTATGTTCCCTAAAGGGGTTTATTGGGAGCTTGACAGATTAATCCTATACAGCCAGTGGTTTTATCTTTTTGCTGAACTTTCAAAATGTGTTTATCCAACAGAAGTGGACGTACTCGGTATGGACTCCCTGACTTCATTTTTATCCAACAATTGGGTTCTTGAGTAGATTATCATTTATATATCTATTTTTCCTGATTATGAGTTATACTCTAATTATGGCTCTTCTGATCAGTGATAGTCTCATAGAATCCTATCTTCAAGCTAAAACCCCATTGCTTTTTTGTAAATAATTCTGTTCTATTTTTCATTCATAAATGTCCACTCTAAAATGTCTTTGGGCTCAATGCATGTTAATATTTTAGAATTTTCTTCCCATCTTACATTTTATCATCCAATGTCAGAAAAAAAAATAATAGCACTTCAGTGAGCTTGATTCACAACTTTAAAGAATGCTTACTTAAAAAATGGTATTAAAGATACCTGCAACTCATTCAAAAATCATCAACAACAACAAAAAACAAAACCCTGTATGTATATCATATTAACTCTAACCAATGAATTCAAGTAATTAACTTATTATTGACAGAATTAGCTGGGAAAAATTTATATCAAATGGTTATTAAGTCAATGTAATGAACCAAGCAATAAATATCTAAAATAACATATTCTCATCTTCAAATTCCAACTTTGGAGGAAATGACACCAGATGGCCACTGTGGACCAAAACGTTCATATGTATGCAATTTGGATTTTAAAAACACTCAAGACTCACATTTGAGCATCTTCCAGCTGATGTTAGCAACTAGACTAAAAAAGTACTGGATACCCACACAAAGACCAAGAAAGGTTAAGGTTGCATTTTAGTTCAAAACAGATCCGTTTATGCTGAGTAATTTTAGGGAGGACAATTACATATGTTTAAGTGAAGAAAACCTTTTCATTAGATTATTGCTAAAGTTCACAATTAGCTTGGAATCTTTTGGAAATCGTGTGGTCAACATTATAAAGTTACAGAAAAGTTTGAAAAAGTTGCATGCTTTAGAAACATGGTTCCCATGGAGCCTGCACTCTAGAAACATAACACAGCAGGAAAGAGACACTTTTGACTCCTCTGCATCTCCTGTTTACAGTATTTTTTCTTCTCTCGCTGGAATCCCATCGAAACTGGCTGATTGTTTCTCTGAGCCTTTTTTCTCCTCACATTCAGAACAAAGAGGCATTTGCAATTTCTGTCAAACAATACAAGAAAAGACAATTAGGAGAACAAAAATAGCCATATTTGAGGTGAAAACAGAAAACTGTGTGGACAGCAACGGAAAAGTCCACCTTGTCCACAAGGAGAGTCACAAACTAAACAAATATTCAGGCTTTTACCACATGTAAATACTGTGTTTACAGCTGCAACAGCTCCTCAAAAACTGCCGAGAGAAAGCTGGTCAAACCATCCAGCAAAAGCTCGCCCAACTAAACAAAAATCCCTGAATATTGATATTACATAATATTTGCAGAAGTAAGCTTTGCAGATAAACTTTCCACTCATTGTTGTAGAAGGTGACTACTATTTACACCTACTCCTCTCCCCCAGTCACCTTTAATCTCTTTCATCTCTTAAGAATTAATGTGTGTGTGTGTTTTAATTCTCTGTTTAATTTCCTTTACTTTCTTGGTTGGCAGCATAATTGGTTGCCCTTCATGTTTGCAAGAGCTCATGTAGGCACACTAAAATATTTACTGGCAGGCACAGCAGATGAGCAAAGTTAAAAGGTCCAGGCTGAAGGAACGATACACGTTCTTTCAGACGATGTATGGGGTCTTCCTATCTTTTAAAATGGCTCATCAAGTAAAGGTGCTTACTACCAAGCTTGATGCCTGGAACTCACATGGTTGAAAGAGAAAACAGAATCCCTCACATTAGTCACATAAGAGCAATGGCATCCCTCCCCATACACACACAATAAATGAAAGGTAAACAAAATAAACAAGCGTTGTTGCCCTGCAACCAGGTGGATGCAAGAAGGGCTTTCTTGATATAATGAAAATCAAATAGACTAACAAAGGAATACCTGTGTTGCGGGCTCTGATTCTGCAGTGGCGTTTCTTTGGGGACCCTCCTCATGCTTTACCAAGCAGGAACTACCCTCCTATAAAACAATCAAAGTAGGTCAACGTAAACAAAGAAAGGTGCTAGGAACCCAATGGGGGTTACTCCCATTAGAAAGTTTCTATGGATTCAATGCATACTAAACACTAAAGGCAAAACCCTCTCAACTGGATGGGTTCCCAAGAGCTGGCACTTGGGAGTTCAGAGTCATTTGCATCTCACAGGAACTCCTCTCTACCACTGGCTACTAATAAGCCAGATTCTCAAGAAAAAGTCTTTCTCTGTCAAACAGTCAAAAGGAGAAAAAGATTAAAGAAGTATTATATCTATGATTCATTTGGATTCTAACATTTAAATTAGTCATCAATGGTGATTGTGTCTGCAGGGACATCAATATTAAGGCAGGGGACTGGAGAAATTCCTCAGCAGTTAAGAGTGCTTGCTGCTCTTTCAAGCAACCAGAGTGCAATTTCAAGTATCCATGTCAGGCAAGTGATACCCACTTATAACTCCTGCTCCAGGAGATACAATGACTGCTTCTAACCTTTGCAAACATGTGCACAGAAGTCACACACACACACACACACACACACACACACACACACACACACACACGTATATACACAACCACACACACACACACAAGCACATACATGCATGTTGTTGGATTTTCTGATCCAGCTGGTCCCACCTATGATTCAGCCTCAAATAAACACACCGAGGCTGTATTTGTTATAAATCGGATGGCCAATGACTGTGGCTTCTTACTGGCTAGCTCTGTCTTAATTATTAACCGATTTGTATTAATCTAGTCTTGTCTTACTGGAGAAGGGTCTGGACCTCTAATACCTTTGTCGGCTCACATGAAAACTGTTCTGGCAGGCTCTCTGCCTCCCTTTTCCAGAATCTCCTCTCTCCTAATCCCATCTGTCTTCCTGCCTCATTGGTCAACAGTGTTTTATTCATCAACCAATAAGAGAAACATATATACGGAAGGACATCTCCCATTACATGCATGCATACATGCATGCATACCCGTGCACACACACTCACAAACATACATACACAACCACACACATACACTCACACACCAACATGCAAATAAAAATACAAACTAATCTTTAAATTTGTAAGGTCGGAAGGGATTTTAATTACATTATCATAAATATGTCCAGCAAAATACTTCAGTATGTTTTTAAAAAGGCAGTATTTCTATAGCTAAAATATCCCTGTAGTTTACAAATCAAGAAGCCATGTGTTCCCTTTTAGCCCTGTGAGATGTGAGCAACAAAAGCTGTTGTCAATGGAAACAGCTCCCCTCAGGTTTCGCTAGGATTGCTTCCCTCCTCTCCCTCTCTTTGTCTAATTGCTTCTCTTCCTCTACCTTTTCTTGGATTATAAATAGGTGTTAAGATGGAGTAAGTCAGTGTTCCATAGTCTTCCCCATGTATAAAAAGGAGACTCATGGGCAGTGGACAGCTCTTGATATTCAACTATGCAGTTTCTTTCCTGGGATGGGGGTCATGGGTCAGAAATACCATTCTGTCATTTGAAATACTCTGAGTAGACGATGCTGCAGATATTGCGGAGGTGATGAAGACTCCTGCAGCTCAGGGTTTAGAACAAAGTGATTCTTATAGGCTTCACATTTGAACCTCACACAAGGATCATATCACTCTCCGCTTCTTCATCTCTTTACATCCTCTACCTCCATAAAAATCCTTTTTCAAGTGGTTCTGGATTTCGACCATCACTCCCTCCTTGATTCATTCTAACAGCAGCAAGGAAGGATCAGTTACACCCCTGCTCAGTCAGCATTGTGCATACCAACTATAGTCCTTTGGATTACACACACAGACACGCACGCACGCACGCACGTACACACACACACACACACTGATTGTCAATATCTAATACCTACTAAGAAGCAAATTGATAAAACCACAGATCATGAAATACTGATCAGTTTTTTAAAATGTTCACATGCCTGCTTTCTCCGAATGACCAGAAGTGGTCACGCTTTATTGAATATTTTTATCAATTTTAAAAGTGAATAACTACCCTTGATCTCAGCCAAAAGTCTGAAAAGCGACCCCAGATTGATAGAATGGGACTGATCCAGACCTTGTGAATGTGGGTGTGAGTTAGGAGGACTCAGAAGTCTGTGGGGCCTCTGGTAGTGGATCAGTATTTATCCCTATTGTATGAATGGACATTAGGAGCCCATTCCACATAGAGGGATACTCTCTCAGCCTAGACACATGGTGGAGGGCCTAGGCCCTGCTCCAAATGATATGACAGACTTTGAAGACTCCCCATGGAAGGCCTCACCCTCCCTGGGGAGCAGAAAGGGGATGGGATAGGGAGTAGGTATGCATATTTGAAAGAGCAAAGAGGAGATCTTGGAGAAAAGAAATGTAATTGTAATTATATTATAAATATATCATAAGCTTAAAAATAATAAGTGTTAATCATACAGTTATATGAAGTAATAAGAATATAGTATGGAAATATATAAGTGATAGACATATAGAATCGGAAGCACTATGGAAAACAGAAACTCATACTCGCCATTAATTAGCTTTTGCTGAAGGGGATAAAAGTTTGATGTATAAGGGTAGCCATTGCATAAAAAATGTGACAGCTAGGACAACTGGCTAAATAATTAAATAATGAATTTTAAAAAGGCTCATCATGGATTGCAAATCTAAATGGAGTACAAGGAAAGAAAGGAATTCTTGTGTGTTTAATCATTTAAGTTAATTTTTCTTTTCTGTCAGTTTATATATCCAATAAGAGAAACCAAAGTGGAGCTTGACTCTCCATCTACATGCATAATGGTGTTGAAAATGTTTCCCTATAGCTAGACTGAAATGCTTGTCACACTTTCATAACGCTTAACACAGCTCAGAATGTTGATGCTCTGAATGTAGGCAGTTACACTCAAATAGTTCCCGTGGCTGCAAAAATCTTCCGACACCCGTGTGTTAATTGGAAAAACTCAGAAATGTAGTGTTCTCAATGTGAGCTTGTGGAAAGAGTCCTCAAATCCTCAGTGCTCATGATAAATGGTACCCAGGCTCTGTGTTTGGGTGGTCAGCTTACACTCAGTGCAGACATTCCTAAATACATGTGGCCCATGGAGTATAGTTTAAAGAGTGTTGGTTTAGGAAAGGAGCAGCCCCTACAGAATACTGTCCAGTAACTGGTTACCTATTTCTTCCATTGTTCTAGTTATATATTAAAATGGTAATTTTATACAATCCTCTGTAGTAGTTGCGGAGCATTTTTTATGAACTCAATACGGGATGCAGTAATCCACTTTCAGAATTTGACATTTATTCAAAGATAATTTAATATATGTATTATTCATGTATGCTTGAACACACAAACATGTACATACCTGTATGCATGTGATTAGGGACTGCGAGGCTCCAATAAGCTTATAATCATCATTAAGTTTCCTAGATGACAATCATCAGGTCCGAAAAGCTTTACAAAATCCCTCAGCTTTATTCATTTAGAACATTCTAAATAGTTGTTCAAAAATGTGAAGGATGCCCCCAGATGATTTTGTGATTATTTCTATTTGAAAACCACCATTAGTGAAATCTATCTGTAGCGCAAAATCAGCTAAGATAAACACATCAGTTGTGTGGATCCCACACATGGGAATACTGAGTTAACTTTCCTGCAAAGTCCTGTATAACCATGTTTTGAAGTGTTCTCCAGGTGATATTATTCTGAAGACATACATTAGAACTCCTAGTTTAAAACTTGAAAACTGACATTCATAAGGTGCCACTAATTCTTCTTACACCCGAGTAATTTATCTGGTGTACATTTTCTCTGTCTCTCTGACTGATTACACTAGAAACTATAGCTCTGGAAGGTAAAGACACTGAACCCCAGTAAGACTAGAGACAATGTTCCCATTGGTGCCCATCAAGAGAGTGCCGGGGAAGGACATGCTTATTGGATTTGTCAAAGGAAGAGAAGTTAATGAAGGAGAATATTAGGAGTAGGAGAAGGGAATAACAGTAACACACACACACACACACACACAGACACACAATTTTGACAGGCACACCTTTTTGTAAAAAGATAAACCAAAATGATGCTTAGAACACCAATGAACAAAGCAAAGCTTTGCGACTTTTAGTATGAACAGGTAAATACCCTCCTATAAGTTGAAACTTTTCCCACTGTCAGTCCAGAATCAGTGAGCTCCTACTAGATCAGGTCAGCTATTTCTGTGGGTATCTCCAAACTGGTTTTGACACCTTTGCTCATGTTATCGAACCTCCCCCTCTTCAACTGGACTTTGGGAGCAGAGGACCAAACTAGGTCCTCTGAACATTGATAAAAGTAGTGTGCCTTGGTCAGTCTGTGAGAAGTGGGACTAGGATGTATACCTAGTGCTTCAAAAGCCTATTTCTTTTAGAGAAATACTTTGCTCAGCCTAGATATAGAAAGGAGGGCCTTGGTCCTGTCTCTAAGTGATGTGTCAGACTTTGCTGACTTCCCATGGGAAATCTTACCCATTCTGAGGAGTGGATTGGGAATTGGGGTGGGGGAGAGGGGGTTAGCCGGAGGAGGGGAGTGGGAACTGGGATTGGCATGTAAAATAAGAAAAAGATTGTTTATTAATTTAAAAATGATAAAATGATAAAAAAGATGGCACTTGTGTGTTCCTCTGTTGACAAACATTTGAAATGACTGATTAATTCAAACTAAATTCTCTAATGAGGGAATTCAAGTCCTTACTTTGTGGTTCCTGTTTAACCTACGGGTGAGTATCTCAGTAACTTCACTATTCTATTCTGTATTCATAGTGCTCTGGTGTACTTTCTGTTTGGGAAAATTTTTCTCTCATTGGTAAAGCTCTATCCACACTTCAGACCACGGCAGTCATCCCTTCCTACGCATATCCTTCTGGACTCCCTATGGAAGTCAATTGCCGGGTATTGATTTTACTCCTGAATAACTTTATATCCTAAATTATATGCTCACACACCAGGGACAGATACTGGCCCTACTGGCCAGGGGCCTCTCA